GGCCTGCGGAGTTTGCAAACTCAGCAGCCAGAGGGGATCCGCGGGCTGGAGAAGCTCCGCTAAGAGGCTCTCCTTTGGACCCCCACGGAGAACAGGATCCGAGTCCTCTCTTGTCTCTTTTACTCTTCATCGTGTAATTTGAGGTATTTAGAATGCATTCTTGAAAGGATAACGCTGGCTCCAGCTCATCAGTGATAGATTTTTGTTTGTTTGATGGGACAGTCTCTTGTTCTCAAAGTAATTATGTAGCAGAGGGAGATACTGCCTTTTTATCCCTCTGTCTCCATCTCCCCAGTGATAGAATTACAGGTGTGCACCACCGCTGCTGGTTTTATTTGGTGCCTGGCTTGGAACCTAGGACTTTGTCCAGGACAGGCTTGAGCTACCTCCCCAGTCCGGGTAACGTACAGTTCAAGGTTAAATAAGGAAACTAAAGCAGTTAAACCCGAAGTGTGAGTCTGTCTTTTGCAAGCGTTTCAAAAGACAAAAGCAATCTTATCAGTAGTATCTGAGGGCCAAGTATTCCTGCAGACCTGAGCCTCCAGCCACTGTCTGGTCCACCCTCCCTTTCACATTCCACCTGGGGTCTCCTCAGCACCACCTGATGGGCAGAAGACACCGCGGAAGCTTGCTCACAGTGCAGCCAGTCAGTCTGTAAATCTGTTAAAAGTTTTGCCGGTGTGCTGTGCAATTCCAGCAGTAAGCAGCCATACAGCTTTCTCTTGTGAGAAATTTAGGATTGCTTGAATCCCAATTTCCCACAGCATTCAAGCCTTTTCTGAATGGTGCCTCTTAACTCATGCAGATGAACTTTGAATTTTTTCATGCTTCCTCTCTTCCTATGGCCTTGAACGCATCTTTGTACTTACGTTGTAATTAGTGAACCTTATAAACATTCTGGAAGCGGACTTGGAGGTATGGCATTCGGTGAAAACAAACAGGTTCATTAGCACTAGCCCTCTTTAGGGGTGTCCTGGATAATCTCTCCTGAGCTTGCCGCTAAACTGAAGGTTCTGGACTTTGTCAAATTCACTAAACTCTAGCTATTCTTTGTGTACACGTTCCTCAGGTTTGTAACTTGATAGTTAGAGTGTAAGTTCAGAACACTAAACGTCAAACGTTTTTAAACTGAGTTTTGAATGCTTTGCCTACCTTTGAGGTCTGCATTTTGCTTTCAGTAATTCACCAGCCTTGAATCTCTAGGTTGCTCACTGTCTTCCTTCGGAATCAGTCCACTCGAGAGTTGATTAAATGGCCGTTTGATTTCTCTGTTGGTCATATGTATCGGGTTTTATATCCATGTGCAGTGATTAGATAGGCTGGGTCACTCTGATTCACATTTTTCTAGTTTTCTCCACAAACTCTTGTGCTCAGAGAAAAACCAAAGCCAGCTGCCTTTTTCCTTCCAGCTTCATGACATCTGAGTGTATCCGTTTATTTAGTCTATTGGTAAATATCACTGTACAGTGTTAATTGCACTGGAGCAAAAACACAAGTATTTCAAAAGCAAAAGTCATCCAGAGGTCGTGGTACAGGCCTGTAATCCCACTTGAGAGGTGAAGACCAGAGGATCAGGAGTCCAAGGTCATCACAGCTAGAGATTGAGGACAGCCTGGGCTACAGGAGAACTTATCTCAAAAGAAATAAATGAAAAGGAAAGCTGGAATTAAAGGTGTGTGCCACCATACCTGGCCTAAAAGCTTTATATTTAATTTGGAATATCTTTTCAGATCTCCAGCTCTAAATGATAAGTATTGTCAATTTCACTAAAACATCAATGGGTCTGAGAAACTTTCTCAAGAATACTAGCATTTATTTGGAAACAGCAGAGCACAAGGGGAAAGCAGTCCTATAGAAAAGTTTGGGCGTATTCACAGGGAATTCAAGGGGAGGTGGCTTTAGGGTTTGGTTTTGCTTTAAGGTGCTGGGATTAAACACGGGACCTTGCCCATGCTAGGCGAGCACTCTATCACTGGGCTGTATCCCACTCACTCAGTATTTTGAGACAGTCTTGGTTCATAGCACAGGCTAGCCACAAACTTATGATCCTCCTGCCTTACTCTAGGATTGCTGGAACTGCAGGTATATACCACCGTGCTCAGCACACAAGGGGAAGTTTAAAATGACACAGCTCCAGGGGGGTACATAAACTACTTTGAAGCACTAATCCTTGTTGTGGAGTATTCCTTACACTGTGTGAAGGGTTAATACAAAGCTAAACAGCCAATAACTAGGCAGTATTTCCAGGCATAGAGGATTCTGGAAAGGAGAAGGGTGAAGACCGCAGAACACAGAGCAAGCATCATGGACATTACAAAGTAAAGGTAACCAAGCCACGTAAAAGAATATAGATGGAAAGAAATGGGTTAATTTAAGTTATTAGAGCTAGTTAGAAGCAAGCCTAAGCTATCAGCCAAGCTTTCCTAAGTAATAATAAGTCTCCAGTCCTGACAAAACTCCACCTACAAATCCTTTGACTTGTGATTTATAAGGTGTTGCCTTGGTCCCAGTGAACACACAGTCGCTTGTCATAAAGTTGCAGTGTCCTATCTACCAGCCTGTGGTAGTCTTTTGTGCTAATTGTTATAGGCACAGAGCTGTTAACAACTATAGCTTTATAACCTCCCTGCTGTATATACTTGGTTTTGTTCTGGTTGACACAAGTGACTCCATCTTGATTCTAATCACTTGCATATTTCCTTTACGGTGTATATTTTTATAAGATTAAGAATAGCGTTAGGATGATTCTAGAAGTTAATAATATAGAGTAGAATGAAAATCCAAAATGGGGAGGGAAGGAAGTTAGTTTCGTTGTCAAAAATGTGTTCCATGCTGGTGAGATAACTCAGCATGTAAATATGCTTGCTGCCAAGCTTGACAGCCTGAGTTGGATATCCTGAACTCACATGGTTAAAGGAAAGAGCTGAATCCTCTCAAGGTGTCCTGTGAGGCCCACACTTGCATGCATGCATGCACTCCTGTGCATGCACACACACACCTCGCAATAAATAAATGATATTTTCAAACTTTTACTATGTTCATATTTATATAAACTTGTGTTCCAGCAGTGATGTAACTAATATGTGTGACTCCCTTTTCAATGTTTCTCTTCTCTAGCATGTTTTTGGTCCAGAGGAGACTCTACACCCTTGGCAGCAGAGCGAAGCTTCTAAAGACAATTTATTCTTTGAACACCCTTGGATTCTCCACTTCTGCCGTAGGTATTGCTTATTGCAGACAGACAAATTTATTGTATGTATTTTCTCATACATACAATATGGTTAAAAAAAATTGGTTAAAAAAAAGATGCAAATTTCCATGGACTTTTAGTAGGTTCACTAATTTAGTGGAATGAGGAAATCTGTTATGTGGGCTGAAGGAGCCTGTCTCATCAGTGACAAGAACCTTGGTTCTTTGAGCTTGCTTGCCTGTGGCTCTTTATGTTGGCCATTCTTATTTTATGTTTACAAAAAAACTTTCACTGGAATGTGAGTTTTTGTATGCTACAAATGAGAAAGTGGAATCCTGTCAGGTTTATTCCTCACTGTGCCCGGCTCTCCCTTGCTGAAGTATGAGTTCTTTTTGCTTGGCAAAGGCCATCACTCTGACCTCAAGTACAGAAGTGCAGGCCGAAGGCCTCCAGTTCATCTCAGTCAGTCGGTCATGATCCCTTTGTGGCTTGAAAAACCCTTTCATGGGGGTCACATGTCAGATAGTTATTATTCATAATAGTATCAAAATTACAGTTATGAAGTAGCAATGAAAACAATTTTATGTTTGGGGGGTTAACACAGCATGAGGAACTATACTAAAGGGTCATAGCATTGGGAAGCTTTAGCACCACTGGTCCAAATGTAACTGACTGGGAAGCAGAGGGAGTAGATGGGAAGCAGCCTTGAGAGGGATTACCCTGAGATGACCCATTGTGGTGGTAGGGGCGGGGCTGCAAACTCTACTGCCCTCAGAGAAATCAACCGAGACAGGCAAGAAGAAAACCATTCAGCATGACTTAGTTATCGGGGCTGGTTCAACTTCTGCAAAGTGACAGTTATCTCAACGAAGCTCAAGGTATGATCACATCGCAGCTGTCTTGCAGCATGCACGTATCAGTGACCTTCCTCAAGGATGGGTTCTATTGACTAAGAGACAAAGCTCAGGAAAAGGAGGATTCGGGTGAGGGCTGGCTCCATACAACAGCAAAGTTCACCAGGTTATCCACTCAGCCTTGCAGGTGAGTGGGTGTCAGTTCCTTCTGTTGAAGAAAAAACGCTGGAGTGTGTAATAGCTCTGGTTTCTCTAGTGCTGTGTATAAGCGTGTGGACTCCATGCCCTCTCCAACCCATGACCTATGAATAGCAGCATGTAGACCTCAGTTAGGAGCCTGACCCAATCCACTGCCAAATTTTTGAAGGATAAAGTTATCTTACTTTGAAGATCTTAATTGCTGTTTATTCTGGAATTGGGCAACATGTCATTCTAGGAAATATTCCAGGGGGGCTAGGAGAGGGGGCTGACTTAATACATGGGAAAGGACAGAAAAAAAGCTGAAACAGGAGGGTTTTTTATTTTGGTTTTTTTCAAGACAGGGTTTCTCTGTAGCTTTTGGAGTCTATCTGGCACTCGCTCTGGAGACCAGGCTGGCCTCGAACTCACAGAGATCCACCTGCCTCTGCCTCCCGAGTGCTGGGATTAAAGGTGTGTGCCACCAACGCCCGGCTGAAATAGTAGATTGATCATTTCAAAGTTAGTTTCCTGGTGAGGGACAGGGAGATCTGGGGACAGAAAGTCAGAAAGACAGAAAAACAAGTGATTCATAAAATAAGCATCTGGCTGCTTCGGTTTTCCTTAGTGAGTGGATTAAGAAAAGAGGAAGCAGCTGGGCGGTGGTGGCACACATTGGGCAACATGTCATTCTAGGAAATATTCCAGGGGGGCTAGGAGAGGGGCTGACTTAATATATAGGAAAGGACAGAAAAAAAAGCTGACACAGGAGGGGGTTTTTTGGGGTTTTTTTTTTTTTCAAGACAGGGTTTCTCTGTAGCTTTTGGAGTCTATCTGGCACTCGCTCTGGAGACCAGGCTGGCCTCGAACTCACAGAGATCCCCCTGCCTCTGCCTCCCGAGTGCTGGGATTAAAGGTGTGTGCCACCAACGCCCGGCTGAAATAGTAGATTGATCATTTCAAAGTTAGTTTCCTGGTGAGGGACAGGGAGATCTGGAGACAGAAAGTCAGAAAGACAGAAAAATAAGTGGTTCATAAAATAAGCATCTGGCTGCTTCGGTTTCCCTTAGTGAGTGGATTAAGAAAAGAGGAAGCAGCTGGGCGGTGATGGCACACTCTTTAATCCCAGCACTCGTTAGGCAGAGATGGATCTCTGAGTTCGAGGCCAGTCTGATCTACTGAGCGAGTTCCAGGACAAGCCTCCAAAGCTACAGAAAAACCCTGTGTCGAACAAAAGACTGAAGGAAGCTCGTGACTGTGCCTATTGGTGCAAGTTGGCTTAGAAAAGTTGTCTGTCGAGCTCTATTCCTGGTTGCTTATGTGAGGTCAGCTGAGCAACTTAGTTTGTGGTGTAAGGGATTCATTTTGATGTTTAGCCTTATCTGTTACAGAGCTTACTACAGAACAAAACTGCTCTCCTGACATTTCTGTTTGGTGATACTAAAAACAGAAAAAATTAAGAGAAAGATGAATGTGTACTAGTTATTAGTTGATGCCAACGAATTATTATTAGTTATACTAATGACATTACAGTTGTTTTCACAGATACACATACACCAATATGGGGTATAATGAGGTAAGGTCCAGGATTTACTTTGAAATCACTCTGTGGTAATGAAAAGAAAAGGGTTGGTGGAACCATGGCATTGTTGAATGTGAGCATTTAATATTAGGCTGGGTTTTCTCTGATTGTCCTTCTCATGAGTCAAAAATGATAGAATGTTAGGAGCTTCGTGTTCATCCTTATTCCATTCTCTCCCCCCTTACTATGTAGATTTGAAAAGTTCAAAGTGTATAATCGACTTTTAAATACTATGACTTCTTCCTCATGAGCGTCTTGAATTTCCCTTCCCCCATACACAGACGATGGTTGAATCCAAGCAATTGTTATAAGGATTCAGGCATTCTGCTGGCCTGCCCCTGTCACCTGGCAGGATGCACACAGACAGTATCCTGGTCAGCCCACAGTGCCGTGATTTCATAGTCTGCATGCAGGTGCAAAGCACCCTTTTAAAATAAAGACCCTACCCACGTATGCTCTCCACTATTCCTCTGGGGTAAACAGGACTTTTCCTGTCTCCCTCTTCTGTCCTCTCTATCTCTGTGTCTCTTTACCTTATTTTCTTACCTTCTCCTCAATAAAACTTTCAATATGAGTCACATCTACAGGTCTCTGATTCCCCCTCCGCCCTGGGACCTCGATCCTCTGGGACTGGGACCCACACCGACTGTCCCAACCCATGCCCTAGTATTCCTAACATTTGGTGCCCTTTGTGATCACCCAACGTGACTATATGAGACTATGATACTAAAAGGTGTGAGCCGGGTGTAGGGGCACACGCCGTTGATCCTGGCTTTTGGGAGGCAGAGACAGGTGAATCTGTGAGTTCAAGGCCAACCTGGTCTACATAGAGTGTCCCAGGACAGTTAGGGGGCTACTTAAAAAGACCCTGCCTCAAAAAACAAACAAAAAGAAAGCAGAGTGTGTTTGTGATTATCATTGGTGGAATTTGTTAGATCACATATATGACTCACACTAAGATATGCTGATCCTTAGTCTGGAATATTCTTAGAAAAAGCATTTCTAAGTCATCTCATCTACATCTAAGATAAGACTCACCACCGGTGTGTTATTCAACCCGCTGACTGTTTGACATACCCCACCACCACCCCCAAGGAGTGGAATGACTGAGCTACATGTTGACTTAGGCTTAATTTTTAACAACTGCCATTTTAAGGACTGACCCTGTCACAAAACATTTCCACAATTCATCAATAGGCTTCGCTTTAAAAATCACAGCAAGGTTGGGGGAGAGTCTGGAGCCTTAAGAGCACTTGCTACTCTTGCAGAGAACTAAGAATTCAGTTCCCAAATCAGACAATCACAACTGGAGCTGGGGCCTCATACTTGCTAGGAAGCTCTCCACTGCTTAGCTATAGCCTCAGCTATGATGAGTTCAAAGAAACCACCTAGCACAAATTTATATGAAGTAAACGAATTGATCTAAGTAAAGGCAACCTGTTTTTTTCACAGGTTGAAGTCAGCCAAAATTCCAGAAGCAGACTTTGCTATCTGTTTGCCTTCAATTTAGGGGTATCTAAAATAGCTCCAACTCCCTACACTCCTAGGATCGTCCTGTGAGGTGTGTTGTGGCCAGCGCCTAGCTGTAGAGGCCTCAGATTTTCCTGTGGTACAATCTCTCAGACAAAGCCAAGATTCCTTCCTCATCAGTCACTTGTTCAGTCAACAGATATTGAACACATTTTATTTGTTGACAGGTTGGTTTTGTTTTCTTTGGTTTTCAGACAGGGTTTCATGTACCCTAGGCTGGCCTAGAACTTGCTAGGTAGCTGGGGCTAGCCCTGAACTGCTCCTCCTGCCTCCACCTCTCAAGTTCTTGGTTAGAGATATACATTACCATGCCTGCCTGTCTACTTATTTGTTGCTAGATGCATGGCCTCACTGTGTAGCCCAGGCTGGTCTGAAACTTCTTAGATAGGTCAGGCTAAAATCAAATTCACCCTCCAGTACTGTAGGATTATAGTTTAGAAATAATTCTGTATAAAATAGAGCGACTAAGTATGTGTTCCTTAAAAGTTTCAGTTAAATATGCATACCTTTGCATGGGATATAATTGCCTCATTCTTTTTTTTTCCAATGTAAATAGTTTTATTTAGACATTCCATTTTCCACCATATTAGACATTGCATTTTCCATTTAGGATACAGGGCTTATAAAGTGCAATGTTTTATTTCCTCTGTGTACGTGTTCCATGTTCAGGTATTGAGAATGCCCAGGAATTTATTGTTAGCAGTTTAAATTTAAAAACTGCCATGAAACTTTGCTAAATTTGGGTCCTTCAAACGTTTCCCTGTGGAACAATGCTACACCTCTACTTGGACTGACTTAATCCACCTCTTCGGTGGTAGGCCCTGAGGAAGCACCACCAGATGGAGGAGCCCTACCACCAGGGAAGCCCCCAGGCATTCCTCCAG